AGTGACATTTTTGTAAATAGACATTCTAAATAGCATTATTGCAAATATACATTAAAAAATGGCATTTTTGTAATTGGCCATTTTAAAAATAAAAAACCAATTAATTTTACAAAGAATAGGTGGAAACTTAGTTATTATATGGTAAAGTTACATATTATCAAATGATTAAATCTTTTAAATGACGATAAATACAGTTTTGTATGTCGACATAGAAAATCATTATTCTCGAATTTAAATCCATTTTTCCACTTGTTCTTTTTTTTTTTTAAAGAACAGAGTGTTTCTTCTCATTTTTTTTCTCTCAGTTTGGTGGACAATAAACAAAAAAATCTTAGCCCTTTTAGAGAGAGAGAGAGACTGAGACAACTCATCAGTTGTTGCGGCTCAAAGAAAGATCGAGATCGAGATCCAGACGACGGAGAAGAAGATAGCTTCACCGGACAATGGGATCTCTTCTTCCTCACTATTGCTTCCGTTTCGTCTTCTACTGTCACTCCCACCACAATAGCAACTACTTCTCCTGATACCTTTTCTCCTTCTACCTACATTTCCTCGACAAATTACACTCTCTCAGGCACGAATCGACCCTTTTAGTCTCTTGTCATTTTCCTCTATTCGATTCTTCTTGTGTGATCGATCGTTTCTTTCTTCATTTGGGATTGTACGAATTTCAAGTCCACCGATCTTTTGGGAGTATTTGGAATTGCTCGTTTAGGTTTTCTACGATTTGACTTGATTTATGTTTGGTATTTTTTTTCTGCTCATCTTTTGTTTTGGAGAAAGTTTTTAGATTCCAACTAGTCAAACCTGGTTTACCGGAAAAATCGCTGTTAAGAGACTTAGAGATCTGAGCCTATAGTTAGTGGTCCAGTGATGATGTTGTACAAATGGCTATTCTGGTTTCTGATTTAACTCAGTTCTGGGCGATTAGCTTGTCGGTATAGGTCTTTTGATTGTGGTATTTTTTGCCCATTGTTTCACCTGTCACAATCTCAATCTGAAAATGTCTCTTTTTTTTATTTTCTTTCTTCATTATTATAATGTTGTTTATGTCTATACATGTGAAGCAGTATGCATTTTGGGTCAGCTCTCATTTCTCCCCTGTGTTGTTTCCTGTAGGATTTGTAATATTCTCACGTTTCAACTTAGTGTTTGTGGACTTACTCTGGGGTTTTCTTCTAAGTGACCAAAAATGGGTTCGAGATACCCATCTCACCAGCTCGGTAATGGGTTATTCGTGTCTGGTCGGCCTGAGCAACCTAAAGAAAGGCCTCCGACAATGAGCTCTGTAGCTATGCCTTATACTGGTGGAGACATCAAGAGATCAGGTGAATTGGGGAAGATGTTTGATATTCCAACAGATGGGACTACTAAATCAAGGAAATCTGGTCCTATAACTGGTGGTTCTTCAAGGTCTGGCTCATTTGCAGGGACTGCTCAATCAGGTCCAGGTGCGCCTATTGCCACTGGTCGTATGTCTGGTTCTTTAGCTTCTGCTGGGTCAGTTTCTATGAAGAAAACGAACTCCGGACCTTTATCTAAGCACGGAGAGCCTTTAAAGAAATCATCTGGCCCGCAATCCGGTGGTGTAACACGGCAAAACTCCGGTCCTATTCCTATTCTTCCAGCTACAGGTCTCATAACCTCTGGGCCTATTACATCAGGCCCTCTGAATTCATCGGGAGCACCCAGAAAGGTTTCTGGTCCTCTAGACTCTTCCGGTTTGATGAAGACACATATGCCTACTGTTGTCCACAACCAGGCGGTAACTACCCTTGGTCCAGAAGATGACTTTTCCTGCCTGAAGAGCTTCCCAAAGCCTGTGCTGTGGCTGGTTGTTCTTATATTCGTAATGGGGTTCCTTGCCGGAGGCTTCATTCTTGGAGCAGTTCACAACCCAATCCTCCTAATTGTTGTTGGCATCTTGTTCACAGTTGTTGCTGCACTTTTTATTTGGAATATGTTTTGGGGGAGACGCGGTATCACAGATTTCATTGGTCGTTATCCTGATGCTGATCTTAGAACTTCCAAAAATGGTCAATACGTGAAGGTCACTGGGGTAAGTATCCCTGCGTTGGTCCTACAATTTACTCTTTCTGTTGTTTCTCCTGCTGTTGCTTGTTTACTTGCTGGAAATGTGAATTGGCCTATGATCGTTCGGTAAAACAATAAAAGGCTTCAACTGAGAGAAGGCTATAGCTTTTATGCATGTGCTAAACTAATAGAAAACAGAGTACTACTTAGTTGAAATAGTGGAATAAAACATGTATTCGATGGATAGAAGCAGAGATTGCATTAGCTATTGGAATCCATCTATAATATTAGCTTGCTATGTTTATGACCTTGATTCTTGTTTTATTGTTTGAAGGTGGTTACTTGTGGTAATGTGCCGCTTGAGTCATCCTTCCACAGAGTCCCCAGATGTGTGTACACATCGACATGTCTATATGAGTATCGTGGATGGGGATCGAAACCAGCCAATTCTTCACATCGTCGCTTTACATGGGGACTGAGATCATCAGAGGTTAGTGAATTCCCCTAATATATATTTTTTTTTTGTTTTGACAAAAGAAATGTTATATTATCTTCCTCAACCCCGTCAAAACATTTCCTTTTACCATTATGTGGCAGAGACATGTGGTGGACTTTTACATCTCTGATTTCCAATCTGGGCTCAGAGCTTTAGTCAAAACAGGAAACGGTGCTAAGGTAACGCCTCTTGTCGATGATTCTGTTGTCATCGATTATAAGCAAGGAAGCGAGCAAGTCTCTCCAGACTTTGTTCGGTGGTTAAGCCAGAAGAAACTATCAAGCGATGATCGAATAATGCGGCTCAAAGAAGGGTAATGAACAAAAGAATTTCAGTACCAACTCCTAAAGTATTAATACAAGCTTTGATCTTGATTTTCTTTGTCGGGTTTCAATTTTAGGTATATAAAAGAAGGAAGCACAGTGAGTGTGATTGGAGTGGTGCAGAGAAATGATAACGTGTTGATGATAGTTCCACCATCTGAGCCACTTGCAGCTGGTTGGCAATGGGGGAGCTGCACATTCCCAACAAGTCTCGAAGGTATCGTATTAAGATGTGAAGACTCATCGAACGTTGATGCAATACCGGTATAAGTCACT